CCACGCCCGCCTGCTCTTCCGATCTGCTTCGTTCTTTCCCTTCCCCCTTCCCCCTTCTCTCTCCTTGCTCTCACCTACCTTCCCCCCCCCGCCTCCCAGCTCCCCACAGCTTCCTGAGGGTACCGTCTTTATAGCACAATGTTATTGTGTACGTTTGTTGTTTGGGATGTGTCTTAGCGTACAAACACATGGTTGATATGTCGGTTGTTTTTATTAGGCAGTGGAAATTCCTGCAGTGCCAAAGTGTATTGGGCCTGGCTGTTCCAACCTGGCCTCTACTGACTCTGTGTACTGCAGCAATGACTGCATACTAAAACATGCAGCAGCCACTATGAAATCGCTCAACCAAGCAAAGGATCAGAAACAAAAGACAAAAGGAAAATCAAAGCCTGAGAAGGTGACTTCATCCAAGTCCATTGCAGAGGTAAAGAGAAATTTAGATCTATTAGTGAAGTGTAAAACTCCAACATAAATTATTGGCTATAAGGACATTTTGGTGAGAAGTTTGATTTAAGTTTGAATTATATTGCGAAAAGCTATTTTTTTGAAGTAATAGTTGTCATACAATGCAGCCTGTTTGTGTTTTAGCATGGATTTCACAGCCAAGTGCTAACCCCTTGTGTATGGCTATTTGAATTTTGTGCTTCAAGGCTCTTGCGATTCTGTGCACTTCATCTTGTAATCATCAAATCTGGAATAGAAAACCGTTGCAAAATGATGATGGTCATTCTTGCTAAAGTAATATTTGCACCTCTGCATCCTCAGAACACTTGTTTGAATTAATATATTTTCTTCCCCGGAGAAAGTCTAATGTTCACAAATGAACCAGTTGGATGTATTAATACCAAATTAAAGAAAAAAAAGTACAATATGTGAACAATTTTGATGAAAGAGATTAAACTGTCCTGATGAGTCCAAGATGAAAAGCTTTGACAAATTGTAAGAATACCAATTTAATGGGAAAATGAAATTATACTGTATGAGAAGAGAGTGCTGACTTCTTGGCAGGTGGTCTCTGGTAAAGCCGTTCCTATGGAGAATATGCCAGCTAATGGTGACTGACAGCTAACTTACCAGGCTTGTTTAAATTTTAAATCAGGCATGTTACTGGTCAGCATTGCTCTGAGCAATAAACCAGTAAGTGAATGTCATCAGTTGTGTTAAAACAGGCACAGTGTATGTACAGAGATAACAAGGTGTAGAGCTGGATGAACACAGCAGGCCAAGCAGCGTCAGAGGAGCAAGAAGGCTGACGTTTCGGTCCTAGACCCTTCTTCAGAAATGGGGGAGGGGAAGGGGGTTCTGAAATAAATAGGGAGACAGGGGGAGGCGGAAAGAAGATGGATAGAGGAGGAGACAGACAGGTACGAGAGAGTTGCAGTGGGAGAGAGATCCACTGAGGTTGTTTCAGAGGGAGGGGGGTAACTTCTTCAGGGTAGGCATCCTTAGAAGAGGCTTCGCAGTGGGGTTAAAATTGTTTCAGAGATAGCAGGAACTGCAAATGCTGGAGAATCTGAGCTAACAAGGTGTAGAGCTGGATGAACATAGCAGGCCAAGCAGCATCAGAGGAGCAGGAAGGCTGACGTTTCGGGCCTAGACCCCCCTCCAGAAATGGGGGAGGGGAAGGGGGTTCTGAAATAAATAGGGAAAAACAACCTCAGTAGATCTCTCTCCCACTGCAACTCTCTCGTACCTGTCTGTCTCCTCTCCAACTATCTTCTCCTCTATCCATCTTCTATCCGCCTCCCCCTCTCTCCCTTTTTATTTCAGAACCCCCTTTCCCTCCCCCATTTCTGAAGAAGGGTCTAGGCCCAAAACGTCAACCTTCCTGCTCCTCTGATGCTGCTTGGCCTGCTGTGTTCATCCAGCTCTACACCTTGTTATCTCAGATTCTGCAGTTCCTGCTATCCCTGAAACAGTGTATGTACATGTTCTTTCTGTCTGCAAAAACAGGGCCCAGTGAGTTAATATATCTATTAGCATGCTATGCTGCAAAACTGACTGAAAATCTTAAATTGACTGTCATTGCAATTAATCACTCTCTCTGGGTTTCCAACACACATCCAATTGTAGAATTGCATCTAAAGTTGGACACTGTTGCAAGTTTTGCAAGGTTCGGCTGTCTGAATACAGTTAGTACCTTGTTTTGAACAGCTAAAGGGGTTTACTGTTTGATAAGATCTACCAGTTAGATACATGGCATTGCATTAGCACTGAAATTCATGTCATGTATTACACTTTTGTGTGATAGGCAGAACATCTTTTTAACTTGAGAGCGGCATCTAGTTAGTAGCAAACTATTGTCTGTAGCATGGCAACAGCATGAGCACTTTTCAGGACCAAAATTGCTGCCTGAGGTCCCTTTGTGACTGTGCATGTTATACAGTGAAAAATGATCTGATCAGGATAGCCTTTATCCCACAGGATGGCTCAGCACTACTTTCAGCATCAACCGTTCACAGTGAACAAATGGTTTGGGCCCTGTTTACAAGGTAGTTGACAAATTTAATTTGCAAAGCATGGACTCTAGCACTTGCAGCGTGTAGAATGATCAGTTAAGGTAGTTCTGCAATCAACAGTATTCGAGAACCTTCTGTCTGGTTCTCAATCTGACAGTATTTGAATTTGAGCATGGATGGAACATGTGGCTGCAGATTCAAATATAGCAAATGTATCATGTACGTTTCAGGAAGATGCAAGGTAAGTCATTTCATCGAACACGCGTTTCTCGTGGATTCCTGCAAAGGTGCTTGAGAGAGCTGAGTCTTAATGGCGATCCAACCTCACACTTCTCTATTTGGGCATACATGATGTTAAAACTGAGCACAAATGCTTCTTGCTGAGTTTGTAAATTCAATGAACTCAATGGTGATGAGCACTGCAATTGAAATGCACGGGACCTCCCAGAAGCCGTATAGCCGCACAGCTTAAAGGGAATGTTGCCCTTCTGTGACAGACAACACTTAATACATAGGCGGAGACACTTGGAGCTCTGTAAAACCATAAGTCATTAATTAAGGACTTAAACAAATAACACATTTTTAACTACTAGAGATATCTCAAATACTGTCTTTCACTACCCTGATTTCTGTAACTAAACCCAAACGTTATTACCTGGGAGAGTTCACAGCTGGCCAGGCTGAAACTACTCGCCGTTTTCACACCTCGTGACATAGGGTACCTTCTTAACAATGTGAGTCTTCAAAGTGTGTTTGAACAAAGTGATTTCTTCAGGCTATTTATACACAAGTCCCTGTCCGAGTATGTTCTTTACTTGGAATAATGCTTGCATGTGACCAATCTGAACGTTTTGTCCAAATGTGCACCTTCTTTGGACTTATCCTTGCACGTGAGCAATCCCAAATGTTTTGTCCAAATGTACACATTATCTGATAGAGCCAGCAGTTCCTGGTTTCCTGCAGTTTTAACTCTTAGCAGATCTGACTGACTCAGCGTACTTCCATTCTCAAAGCAGCCTATTATTAGGCCTCTCATCAGTTCTTGTTATCATCAGCCTTATCCAACATCTCATCACCTCCAAACAATGGTGAGCAGTACCTCCTTACAGTGATGTGTTCTCAATGAAGCATTACTTCAGTTGTGTTGTCTGAAATGCCGTTTAGATCATTGTACTTATCTAAACTATAGTCATAAACTGAAACAAAGTTACAAATCGGTCACGGTCCATCAAAAAATACATTATTATTCACCTTTCCCATTTTGTATGATGCACATAATATCAATACAAATGAGCAAATAGTACGAAATACTACGAACTAGCTATATTTACATTATTCCTACTCTATAATAAGCCATTGCAAAATCTCTTCCATTTAAGTTATCTTTTGATACCCCAGACTAATCCCTGTTGTCAGTCCCTTCCATTTCTTAACTTTGCATTTAACAAACAAAAGAAGACTATTAGATATTAAGGATAATAAATTGTAATTCAACAATCACAAGACATAATTCTCATCAACAGGTGGATCCGAGTGTTCAGTCTCCAATTCCAAATTTTACCCCCGAAACTTAGAGCTTGCCAGTCTCTTTCCCTCTTCTCCATGAGTTTGAATCTCCTTCTCGTGCAGAGCCCATTTATGGATAACTTCCTTTGCCTCAAAAATGACCAGCCTGCAGTGAAGTGTGGTATAGGAGGAAGTTCTGTAGCTATGAATCAGGGTAAATCATCATCTGTATCATTTGGGTGGATGGATAGAGTTATATGCAGTTTCTAATCGTGTTCTGGCTTAAACAAAACTTTGTGGCTAATGATTGTGTCAGAAGTATTGCTGATTGCCACATTCTGTACATCTAGGTTACACCATGTCCTTCCTTTTCGGTATCCTGAGGCTGCCATGGCAACATAGGTTTCTCCTACTAAGGGATACTTAAGAAAAGTTTGTCAATCCTGCCAGTGAATAACCAATGACGAATTCTCATAAGAGGCAAAGCCACACTGAGTTAGCTCTTCGATCATTTCTTCTGGACATGCATCGAGACAAATCCACTTCCCTTTTAGATCCCTCTAGAACTACAGCATGAGTTGGTGGGTTACTTAATGATATCCAAGTTCCTTCAAGGTATTTACCCACATTATGAACTCACATTATGGTGTGTGTCAGATTGTTCCCATGTTTGGGTACGTGAAGCATTGCACCAATATATAGCTGACCTTTATTATCATCACAGGTACTCAAGACCTGGTTGGTGAGAATGAGACTTCCGAGGTGACGTAGGGGTGTCTTCTCTCCCACCCATGTCCTCAGTTGCTAATCCGACACCCAGTCTGGTACTCTGAGCATCTAATTGCAACATATTTGTACTAACCATCAATAAAAAGTCAACTGGTATATGTTGAACAAAATGCCGCTTTCTTATTGCGAGTTGCTTCATAAACCGTTCTGTCTATAATCTCATGAGTAATCTTCTCAAGGGGTCTAACATTTTGATTGTGCTCAGGACTACCTGTACTGCTTGCTGTCCTATCCTACCCATCTTTTCTGATCCCAATATTCCTGACCTCCGATTACCCTCATCTTTTCCTGGAGGGACCTTAACTGACCCTCCAATTCTGCTATGTCAAGGGTGTTAACAGGCGTTACCTTTGACGCATAGCCTACTTCTGCTAACTCTATCAATCCCCTCTTCCTCTTTTTTTCTTTCCAATGCATATTCACTATGACTAAGTTGTTTTTGGAGTAGGTGGTCAAAAAGCTGTTGGATTGTGCCATCATACCAGGATGACACCTGTATATCCATCAAGTTAAACACTACCTGTAGGTGTCTATATCCTGGCACGAGAGTAACTATCTCTTCTGTTTCTTCCAGAAGTAATCCTACTCCTGCTGTATCTCTGAGATTTCCTACACCATGTCTTTGAGGTAATTCCAGGGGTCATTGTGGTTGTCGGATGAATTGTAGTTG